ACTTTATTGAGTAGTGTAATTCCAGTGATAGTTTGCCTGCGTGTACAAATAGCTCGCAATTCATACACTTAAATCCCAAAGGTCACCATGTTCAAAAGCTCCAAGTAACCTGTTATTTGAGTGACATGTTCATGGAAATGAGTCAGAGGCTAAGACATCCTATCCATGGCTGTCCCTCCTCTACATATAAGTATCTAAGTATTAAGATTAAGAGTGATGGAACCCTCTCTCTCCTCCCCTTGGGCAATGAAATTTTAATTTAAAAATGTAAAGGTGAAAAGGAAAGATATTTAAATGCCTGACTTGTGCATGTAAAGTAGATATGTGATAAATTTAAGAAGATGGGTGTGTTAGTCATTTACCCAGGACCATGGGATGGATTGTCACCAAGCCTGTTGATTACTCTGGTCTGATGTTCTACAAAACAATGTTAACAGGGCATGATAAAACAGGCTGGAATCTCAAGAGAGAGGAATACTTTCAGTTTTTTAATTGAGATGGCTATTCCTTGTCTGAATTTGTTTTACAATAATCCATCAAGTTTCAGAAACTCAACTCAGATATTAACCTGATGGTGTAAAAGCAATTTAATATGAGTTTCTGTAGCTCAGTCTAATCTGAGAGCATACAAAAAAGTATGAAGCTCATTTGAAATTCCATTCCCCTTTAGTCATCCTGGAGATGGAAGAATATGGGGCCAAATGTTGCCAGACTTGTGGGACAGTTTTGCAAATTCACTTCTTAAAGATGAAATAAGTATTTGTGGGTACACTGATTCAGGAACCCGTGCCCACAGAATAGTTAACTTACTGAGAATTTGTGGCTGTACACACAAATTATTTCAATCGCAAAACTCACCAAAAACTTCTGGATAAGCCTGAAAAAGCTATTTAACTGGCACATTAATTTAATTCTTGACCATTACAGTAATACATAGGGATTGAAAAGAAAGAAAGAAACAAACAAAAAACAACCAAACAAAAAAAACAATTTTATGGATTTTCTACCACTATGTATGCTAAATCCCCTTCTCTGAGAAAATTTAATATTTTTAAAGGGATTGTTCAAGGACACAGCAAGACTGAACCAATTGATGGAATTTTCTTTCAGAGTAAGGCTAGGTAATGACAAGTTAGAGGAGCTGTGTTAGAATCACACCTATTCCCCCATAAAATGCTGCTTCCTGCGAGAAAATATAACAGAATCTCTCTTCTAGTCCTGACATCACAATATGTATATTCTTAAGAAAACAAATAAATGTGTGTTTAAACCCCCCAAGTATTTACACATTTTTTTACAGTGTGGAGTTGAAGTTTACTGAGGAACTTCAGGAAAAGAGATTTGATTTTGAGAACCTTAATGACCCATCTATGTAAATAGCACCAATCTTAGCCCCTAGACTAAACCCTAACCTTATGTCCTACTCTGAAAGTGAGTAACAGCAGAAGTTTTTCCTAAAACAGTACAATAAACAGGAGATGTACTGGGATTCTTCTATATTTTCCCTCTCCCATCCAAGTTATGGCAATCACAGTTCAGGTACTCTTCGAGCCATCCTCACGGTTGACACTTGTATTTATTTCCTTTTTTATAATTTTCGCCCATATGAGCTGGGAAATTACTTAACAGAAGACTTTCATCTCTTCATTGTCTGAAAAAGTGCTGCATTACTTTCTAAATTTTCTGCTTTTTACAAACTCCAAGATCCTGTGCTACAAGCAGATAAATTAATAATTCCCTACAGATTTTCTTCACGTGATACAAAATTATGTAAACCTGTGCTGTGCTCTTTCTGTATGCATCCCCTTTGAAAGCTGTGTCTTAGTCACTCCAGCTAGCTTGATGTTTGAAATTTCTCTGTATTTCTGATCATACTTCTTAAAAATCTCCGTACCTCACAGTTCTATGGCATCTCTTTTGAGAAACGATGTCCAACAATTCATTCAGCATTTAAGCTGCATTATGAATTCACAGTATCATAATAATATCCTCTGTTTCATATTCCATTATTTCCAGATAATTCTCGTGTGCTTTTTAGATGGCTGCTACACACCAAGTGGATGTCCTCAGACAGCTACCCACAGGGACTCCAAGGTCTTGTTCAACCCAACCACCTGGACACTTGCCATTTTTAAATTTCAACTGAAATTTCTCATTTATTCTGCTGAGGTTTTTGGGACTGTTTTGCAAGTGCCTGTACCTTCAGCAATTTGCTTTATTGAGAAATTATGTAATCTTACCTGAAATTATGCAATTTACGATACCAAGATTATTGCATGATACAGACCTCACCTTAGATCCATCTGTCATTTTACTGGTAAAATCCCTCCATTGTGAAAACTGACCATTCAATCCTTGTCTTAGTTTTTGGTAGCCAAAGAGAAATTCAACTCTGTTACTTCTCAACAGTTTAAATGTCTTTGAAATTGTTTCTATAGTGTTTTCCAAAGCTCTTTAGAAGGATTTATCAAATGGATGACCCTCAATCACATGTTTATATGCTTAGTGACTGCACTGCATTTCTTCTTTCAATATCCTGGATTATTAATTGCACCTTAAGCATGACAAAATAAGTCATTGGCACTCCAGGCAAGAAGTTTTTGCAGTTACTCAGATTTATACACTCTGAAAGTATGCTTGTACTTACATTTGATACAAAAGGAAGCACTGTGGACACTGGATATTTTAATCTCACGTGCAGATATCTCTGGTACTTGTACCCATATGCCACCTTTAAAGATGAATCAATAGTCATATGAGTTTCACTTCATTAATGGACCTTTTGAACTCAATATTTACATATGATGCCTATACATTTACATGACTTTTTTTATGTTTATGAAAATAAGCAGTGGTTTTCATAGCTCTTACTCAAGCATAAAAGAAACCAACAGCCCCTTGTTCACTGTTCAGAAATAGTTACAATAAGAGGCCCACTCTAGCCTAAGATTATTGTAAGCAGGATTCACTTGAGGCTGTACCCACCAGTACCCTGCTTTTTAGAGCAAGAAACATGTTGGACATATAATGTGTGCAAAAAAAGTAATGATAGAGAATTTTAAAATGAAACATTTTAGTATTTTCTATATACAGACTATAATTACTCAATACATCTATTTGAATTAAATTGTGTTAAACAAACAAAAAATGTTATTCCGGACTGAAAATAGCAGAGCTGGTGACATGGTGAAGCATTTCAAAGTACCATTATTACAGAAGGAACAGTGATGGAAGGATGAAAAATCCATAATAAAGAGCAAGAGAGAATAGTAAACATTGCCTGCTTTTAAAGTTAAAATTTCCTGAGATCCTGAGCTGATGAAAGAAAGCAAACCTTTGAATATCTGCACCAACAGAGCCTTCACATTCACAGACCATATTACAGTTGGGTACGGCAGAGATTTAGGCCACTGTTCAACAGTATCTGTTGATTTTCCACAGTTAATGAAAATGAAAAGAAAGAACTTCCTTTTTGTTAGTGATGGTTCAACACTTGCACTTTACATTTAGTAGGTATGAGATACTGTCATTTTGTTTTATGAGTGCATATGAAATTCAACAGTAGTTCCTGATGATGCATATTAACACATAAGCTTGTCAAGGCTAAATTGTGTGGTCCTTCACAACAGAGAATAAAGTTTATGATACAATATAAAAAGTGTTGATTGGATATGCAGAACTGCAAGCACCATCTGGTTGCCTTGTTTGTCTAACCTCATGGGTTTGTCACTACAGTTGCTAATTACATATGGTATTTTCATGATAGGTCACTTCTGCCTCAGAATTCATATGGGCATATTCCAGTTTATATCTACTTAAGCTCCAGAATTACGATTGACTTAAATTTTTCTCTTTCTATATTGTTTTTTGTAGTGTTCCCAGAATTATTCTTTTTTATTTTGGATGGTTATTATCTGTTCAAAGACAGTTTTTAAATTAAATTCTGTGGATAGTTTAATTAAAATATGTTCTGTCATGCATGCCAGTAACACTATAGGCTTAAAGTAAAAACAATCCTAAATAGAGACCTGCTTCTCATTTACACGAATATAAGTTATTTACACAAATAATAAGTTAATGAAGTGAGATGTAACCCTCATTCATTCAGTATATCAACACAAAGACACTCGTGTAATTTTCTTTTTATTTTGTGAGTTATTTAATTATTTGTCCCCATTTTCAGCATAACATTGTTGGGTGTTTCTAGGCTGTAAATTGAACTATTCAAACTTTTTTCAACAAATGTCTAGGTGCAGATGTTTAACTCTACTCCCAGAACAGCAGGCTGTCATACCAAAGAGGAAATAACAATTGGAACTGACCACTGTTTTCCCAACTGAAACATATAAATGTATCATTTAGAAATGCCAGGAAGAATCCAATGCTGTCATGAAGGAATCTCAAACACCAGACTAAAAGAACTACCAAAAATAAAACAAATTACCCTGGTTAAAAGCCACTGACCCTCCTCCTATGAATAGATTCACAAACTGGGAATGCATGTAGTTGCTTTCCAAAAACTATACAAGACAAGGATCTAGACTACAAGGAGCAAATAGGAGAATAAGGTTTTTTGTCATTCATAAAGGGCAAATTGAACCTTTGTTCATGTGGATGACAGGAAGCAGTGCTTCAGCTCTGCACCCTTTTCCTTTATAAGTGCAATTGAATATGCTATCTATTTCCACTGTGTCTAAGTATGAAGCTGAAATACAGTACTGCCTCTGCATACAGAAAACCTCCTGAGAGTATTAGTAGTTCCTCTAGATCAAGTGCTGCATGTCACTGCAGTTGAACTCTCTTTATTATGCTGAAAAAAGAGATTGTCTGCATCAGGCAAGAAATTTTTTTTATTTATTTCAAATTAATATTCATTTCCTCCACCAGAGATCTAAAATAAACCAGGAGAAAATAATATTCACTTTCCTTCTAACATTTACTCATTTATAAACGGTTCTGTGACACCTGCACATGTTCGGACCAACTTGCTCTCTCATGCAATGAATGCCACTGCTAAAGCAAATGATAGAAATAAATGTTCTGGAAGCTGAAAGTCAGTAAATTTGAATGATCCCGAGTTCTTATGGGCTTCCATAACTGACTCATACATGCATCCAGTAACTTGGGTTGGTGTAGGGGTGTCAGTTTTGAATAGAATATGTCTTTTTCACTGCAAAGAATCATTAAGTTTTTTGCTACATGGTCAAGGCACCATTACCACAATTATCTTTAGTTTCAGGGTTTGTATTTCGAATAACATATATGGGAAATAAATGTTTAAGACAAGTGGTTCAACAAGCAGCAAGGAACTTAGTCATTTAGGAATTGGGCACGTTTGAATCTACCATGTCCATCTGAATGGATGTCTTCAGGAGCTTTGTACCACACTGACTTCAGGGACTCCAGCCCACAGCCTCTTAGACTTAGTTGTTTTCAAAGCTTTACTCTCTACATGGTTTCTAGAGGGGAAAAAAAAAGAAAAAAAAAGACCACAAATATCAAATAGTGCATTGTGAGAAATCAAACTTAAAATTTGTTCACCTTTTTAAACATAAAAGGAAAGAGGTTGTGATTTTTGCTCAATTATCCAAGACTAGAGGAATTAAAGCCTGAAAATTTTAAAAAATAACAAAAGTAATAAAAATAGAAGTTATTTTACAGCTTAACAGCATGAGCAGGAATATTTTCCATTTAATTATCACTTCTGGAGAGATGAACAGAGCAAAGCTTTCACAGGAAGAAAGTTATCAAGCTGTACACTAGAAGTGAAGAATCTACCTGAGCTCAGGAGAGTATGCTGTGGCTGAACTTGGCGACAGAAGAATTCTACAAGCAACAAATATTCTTGTTTTGAATTAAATATACTCATGTAACCAGGTCTGATGTTCTGATGGTAAGGTGTGTAAGGAATATGGAAGAGAAGTTCAGGAGAAGGATCAATTTTTGCCTCACTAAGCAGAGCACCAAGCCCAGGGTTTTGTTCCCCAGATCTTTATTCTTGAGTCAGATATTATTTTTACAGAAATAAGTTTGGCTATTTTTAAAGAGTGTAAGAAAAAATAGTTCTACTGAGGAAAAAAATAAAATGCTAGATGCTAGATAATATTGTGTCCTTGACATTTCATAGATTCACAGAATTCTTAGGGTTGTAAGGAGATCATCTACTCCAACCCCACTGCCAAGACAAGGTCACCTAGAGCAGGTTACACAGAATTGTGTCCAGCTGGGTTTTGAATGTCTCCAGAGAGGCCTCCCCAGGCAGCCTGTTCCAGTGCTCTACCACCCTCAATGTAAAGAAGTTCTCACTCATGTTGAGGTGAAACTTCTTGTGGTTTAGTTTATGGCCATTGCTCCTTGTCCTGTCGCTGGGCACCACTGAAAAGAGTCTGGTACCATCCTCTTGACACCCACCTTTGAGGTATTTATATACATCAATGAGATCCATTTAGTGTTCTCTTCTCTATACTAAACAGGCCGAGCTCCCACAGTCTCTCCTCATAAGAGAGCTGCTCCAGACCCCCAGTTGTATTTGTGGCCCTCCACTAGACCCTTTCCAGTAGCTCCTTGTCTTTCTTGCACCGAGGAGCCCAGGATTGGACACAGAGTGGTCTAGGTATTGCTGAGTAGAGGCAAAGCATCACTCTCTCTACTTGCTGGCTGCACTCTTCCCAATACACCCCAATTCTCCAGCCTATCAAGGTCCCACTGAATGGCAGCAACACCTTCAGGGATATCAGTAACTCCCCCCAGTTTCATATAATCAGCAAACTTGCCGAGGGTACATTCTACCCTTTCATTCAGGTCACTGACAAACAAGTTGAATAAGACTGTACCCAGTATTGATCCCTGGGGAAAACCACTGACTACAGGCCTCCAAATGGATTCTACTCCACTGATTGCCACACCCTAAGCTTTGCCATTCAGGCAGTTCTTGATCCATGTCACTGTCTACTCATCAAACCCACATTTCATGAGCTTACCTACAAGGATATTGTGGGAGACGCTGTCAAAAGCCTTGCTGAAGGCGACATAGGTAACATCTACTGCTCTCCCCTCATTGACCCATCCTGCCATGTCATCATGGAAGGCTACCAGATCAGCCAAGCATAATTTTCCCTTGGTGAATCCATGCTGACTACTCCTGATGACCTCTTTTCTAGATGAGCATATAGTACGTCTCAAACCGGCTACTGCTGCACATACCTGCCCTCCACTGTGAGATTGCTCTCTGTTCACTTCCTGAATAACACTGTTTCTCAACATCTCCTAGTTTTATTCCATCTGCTGCTCTTTCAAAATGTGAAACTAAATTTTACAAATCTAAGTATTACCACATAATATTATCTTTGAAGTGTATAAGGTACCTTTTATATGAAAGAAACACAGACAAAGCAAAAAAAACCCTCTCTTTGAGTGCCTCTTGGGGATCCCAAGTTAGCATACCAGGAAGCTGACAAACTAATCCATGAAAGAAATAAATATCTTTCATTCCTGTTGATGAGGACACATATCACATACCATAGAAACAGGTTGCTTTGACTGCTATGCCAAGTGATGAAAACAGTTTCAAAAAATAAGTCTAAACTGTGGATCCTGAAGCTTGTTCCCATCTACCAGAACTCAGTGCCTTTGTATCACAAGCAGAGGCATGTGAAAAAAGTAAAATGATGAGCAGGTAATAGTATATAGAAAAGAAACACAAAAAAAGAAACACGAGAGGTGGAACAGAGAGAAAAATGTTGGACAGACCTGAAAAACAATTATATTTAAAAAATGGATTGTAATTGATGAAGGAGACTTTTTATTTCTTCCTTTTTATCTCCGACTTTTGGAAAAAAAATATAATCTTATTTCTTGCTTCTTCTCCATCTAAACAGCAGAACAAATGCCTGTAGTCTCAAAACATCTGATACTCTCTGCCTTCAATGTAGACCAGAAGCATTCATTTTTAAAATTAAATGCAATAAGAAGATATAAAAATTTCAGATGCATTAAAGAGCAAGCTATCATGGACCAGCTATAAAATAAGAATGGGAAGTATGTCTAAAAGTATCAATGAAGAGCATTTACTGAGACATTTCAAAATCACTACCTTCTCTTAGAAACTGCCAATTTCCCAGGACCCAAACTTTTCACAGGAAAATTCTACATTTATTAACCTTTCATTGAGTCTCCTGGTTCCAGTAAGAAAATTCTGCTTGACTATCAGAAACAGAATCGGTAACCAGAGGAGCTTTTCCCTAGAAGAAAGGTTACTACTTCTTCATAAGAGCCTTGGTCAGAGTAGCTGAGAGGTACACTCCTTACGGCTCTCACCTGACACAGTATCAAAGAGTTTCACTACATGAGACAACACATCCTCTAAGAGGAATAGATACAGTTGTGAGCCTAGAGGCTGAAGACAGAAAACAGCCTGTCAGGGATTAGAATTCAATCCACATCTTAATCATTATTTACATGTAAGTGTAGGCCTAGAGTTAGCAATTTACTTGAAACTACTTTGATGCTATGATGCAATGAGTCTGCACAGAGCAGCGTCAAGATCCAAATTTGAGCATGAAAACCATACATCCCAAGTGACAGCATCCTGCTTACAGTTACAAAGCTGGCTCCTGGAACATCCTCCACCTACCCTGAGTGCACATCCCCTGTATCTATTTTGTCATTGGGTCCCTGATTTCTTTAAAAGGCAATAACAAAAAAATTGACTACTTTTCGAAAACTTTAATTACCAGGGAAATCTAACATGCCAAAAAGGTAGTGAGTCTGGCAATGGGTAACATTTCTATATCATATTTGCCTGGAAAATATATTACTAATTCTAGTTAAATAATTTATGTCCTTGTATCATGCTACATGTAACAAAACAGCTGGTAAGATATCTACAATACTTACTAATTCTATCAGAAAACAACACACAATCTAAAGCCTGGCAAACATTTACTGGTTAGGGCTTCATTTTTATAGAAAATACTCTGCAATGTTTACATTCAGTGCCATTAAACCAGAGTATATATGCCAAGGTAAGAGAAGATTATTTACATTAAAATGTAGGTTTTAAATGAGACCTTGTTCTGTCAGTATGATATCACAGAATCAGAGAATTATTTGGGTTGGAAGGGACCTTAAAGATCATCTAGTTCCAACCCCCTGCCATGGGCAAGGACACCTTTTACTAGACGAGAGATATCTCTGAATTTTAAACTGTATAGTATTATTGTGGGCAACATTTCATTCTAGTTAAGAAAATTGAAATTAAAACCATTGCAAATAGTGAATGAGAGCAGTTGAATACTTTAATTTCTCATTTTTTCTTGTAGTGAAGTATGTTATGATTTGATATTATACAGAACTTCAGACATAGTAAAAGCCCCACTTTTACAGGAGAAAGGACGCACATGCCTTCATACATATATTGATACAGCTGTACCTCTGTTTTTAAAAGTCTTATAATTCCTTGCATGAAGTGGGAATTTTCTTATCCAAGTAGTGAAAAGGAAGATCAATTTACATTGTAAGTAGTGAAAGCAAAGATACAGCAAAGATACATATTTGTTTATTCAGAGATTACGCTTCAAAAGAGTTTTTTAATTATTTTTTTTATTTATTTTTTAATTATTAAATGGTTTCCCCTTCATGACACAGTCCAGAACATTGGAGTCAAAAGAAGTCCAATCTGGGACAAATTAGACACCCTTTTCTGTTTTCCAGCCCTTCAAACTCTGTTCCTCAGGCACTCTTTCATCGTTGAGGGGAAGGGCAGAGAGGAGGGAAGGAAAAGCAATACTAAGTTTTCCCTTTACATTTTCACAGAAAATCAGCCACCGTTTACATTAGAAGAGACTCTGATCTTTGCAGAATGGTGTATGGGACAAGGGAATGTAATATGCAAGTTCTTCACTCATAAGTAAGTGCAATCCCATTGACTTCAGACAAGGTGCTGCATTTGAAGCAAAAGGATTTTTCAAGTAATTCAAAAGGCACACAGCATATGTTGGTATTTCTGCTCACCTCCAGAAGGAATATTTTCCCTTTTTAGTGTAGCTGCACAGCATGAAATAAGTCTTCTTTGCACTGCTCTGCAGAGATGCACTATTTTCAGCTTACGTAAACCAGGACTTCTTGTACTCTTGACTGTGTGTGCCCTAACAGCCTTTCATGTCTAAGGTTTAAGTATTGTAAGAGCAAGGTAGGTATGGTGGACTGAAAATGAAAGGATGTTCAGTTATTTAAAAATTACACACCTTGTACTTCTGTTAAAAAAAAAAAAGAAAAGAAAAAATGTTTTAAGGCACTTCTGCTTGCAATATGGGTAAAAATCTTTTAAAATTGTTCCAAAAACACCCTATCTTTACTCCTTATTCTTATATTCTCAAGTGCATATGAAAGCACCTTTTATCTTTTTCACCTCCCACTGAAAAATAAAAAAAAAATTGAGAGGGTGAAAGACAAAGAACACTACACTATTTTGTTTTACATTCATAAAAATGGTCCTTTTTTAAGAAATTTACTTTCAAGTTTTCACCCTAAGAGTTGCTACCCATTCTAGTTACTACCCAGAATTTATGTCACACAATTTTTTAAAGTGACATTTGGGTGTCCTCATAGATGAAAACTTCACCTTGCCATTCCACTATTTAGAAGATATTCCACTGTTTAGAAAAGATTACAGTCCAGCATATTATATAATTAATCTACAATTAACCAAACTGTCCGGACATTTTTGGACACTTGAAGATAAAGTGGTTTTATTCACATTCAATTTATGATGTTTGTCTGTGGCAGCTGCCACCTTTTCAGAGGATTCAGTAAGGTACAAATATTTTTGGACTATCCAATCCAATACAGAAAATCGTTTGAGCAAATAAATATTTCTTCCTGTTCTCACAAGTCTTTCTTTTTTGGTGTTACAGTTTTTTAAATGTTAAAAACTTTAATTAACACAAAATCTAAACTTTAATACCTAAACTAGGTAATAATCTGAGAATGTGTGGTGATTATGGCAGAAGTATTATGACTAAGATAAAGTATAAGTATTAATTCAATTCCCATCATATTACACAGTCCCCAATATGAAATATTTATAAAGATGCATTATGTATAAATCTGTCCATATTCATAAACGTCCATACCATTCTGTAAACTATTGTTACATATTGTTTGTTTATTTGAAGTTTAACAGGTCTATCAGAGGGTACAGATATTGCTGGTTTGTTTCTTTTTTACTATCTTTTTCTATCAGGAATAAAATAAAAAAAAAAATAAAAAACAACCAAATACAGGGTCTTTAACATTCCAGGAATAAGCAAAACCATTGGATAACATTATCTTTTATACAACAGGAGTCCTTGAGGCTTTTCAACATTAAAAAAAAATCACTACTTTTCTAGTCAAATGATGGAATATTCATCATGGTAACAACTGCATTTTCTATTACATAGAGAGCAGCATATGGTAAATATTTAGACAAGATATTCAGCCAGATGCACACCGACATTCGCTAATAAAGGCTAAATTAACACAGCATCTGCTGAGAGCATTGCCCAGCATGCCAGGCTTATGTCAGGCAGAATATGAAATAGTACTGCAGGATCCAAGCTAATCTATGATCTATCCAGCCATGTATTGGTCCCAGCTTTCAAAACGGCAGTAAGTTGAAATGGCACATACTACCAAGGATCAGAGAACAGCTTAGAAGCTGCTGTGGTCTGATGTCACAGGCAAGGAATGTACTCAAGACCCTAATCTGCACTAGCAAAGCAGCTAAAAACAGGGTATGGCACAGCTCACCGTGAAAGTTATTTCTCTCCTATAAATGAAAAGGATGTTGATAATTAAGGCTTGACTAGATAGTCCAAATTTTCTACAACAAAAACATACACAAAAATTTAAAAATGTTGGAAGCAGTTTGATGAGAATTTTTTTTTAATGGAAGACAAAAAGAATGATTTTTTGATACTGACAGCCTAAGAAAAACATCACTTGATTCAAGATAGTAAACAGAGTGCTCTGGCCTATAATGATTTTTACCAATTGTTTTTGTAAAAATTTAAACCTCGAATGATTTTTTTAGTTCATAAATATATCCTAAACATCATCTCTGCTAGAGAGATGAGTTCATCCATCTTTCTGTTTTCAAATTTAGGACTTGTATGAGATTGTATGTGCTATTAAAAATTGTCACTAAAACATTTCTTGCCCTTCACTATTGCTCTGCTTTTCATTTGTCCTGATCTGATTTAAAGGAAAACAATTCAAACATAAGATATCACAGGTTGAAAGGAACCACAAGATGCCTGTATGTCAACAACTTGCTCAGAGTAGGGATAGCTATGGGATCAAGTTAGGATGCTCAGGGCCTTATCTAGTCTGGTCTTGAAAATTTTCAAGAATGGGTACAGCACAAACTGCTCCACTACATGACTATTCTCTTGGAGAAAAAGTTTCTCTTCTCTTGTAGTACTTTATGTCTGCTGCCTCCTGTCCTCACACATGATGAAGATTCTAACTCCATCTTCTTGATAACCCCTCCATGGGTACTTTGTGGCTGCTGTTAGATCCTCCCAAAGCCATCTCTTCTCTGAGCTGAGGGAGTCCCCATCCCTCAGCCTCTCTTCATGGGGCAAATTCTCTTATCACCATCTGTCCCAGTGGCCCCTTGCTGAATTCACTCACATTTTAGGTCTCTTATGCTCTATGGCCCAAAATTGGATGTGGTATGTTTTAACGAGCACCATGTAAAAGGGGATAGATAATCCCTTCCCTCCAGATGCTGGCCATGATCCTTATACAGCCCAGGAGGTTGCTGGCTTTGTCTGCAACCAGTACAAATGCACGCTGACATTCAGCTCACTGCACTGGAGCCTTTTGCACACAGCAGGTCCCCAGCATGGCAGTCCTCAAGCTGTAGCACCACAAGGGACTTTTTCTTACCAGACATGGGACTTTTGCATCTGTTCTTATTGAATTTCATGAGATTACTGGTTGTCTGTTCTTATAGTTTTTCTAGGTCCTTCTGGATGATAGTGTTGCCCATGGTCATATCAACTGCTGACCCCAATTCACTCCTATCTGCATATTTCATGGGTGCACTACAGCACTTCCTTCATTCACTGAGATGTTAAACAGAAGAGATAATAGTATAAACCCATTAGTATTCCACCTCCAGGCGGAGTGCAACCTGTTGACCACCACATTCTGAGTCCACTCATCCGGAATGTTGTCTACCTGGTTGACTACATTTTATCCACTCATAAAGACCTAACACACATACAAGAATATTGCAGAAGACAATATCAAAAGCCATGGTGAAGACAAGATAAATGACATTCACTGCTTTTCTCCACATTAGTTAGGCCAGTCATTTCAACCTAGAAGGCAATGAGACTCATCAAACATTATGTGCCTTGAGTTTCATAGCATCAATATAGGCAAGATTTGTAAATTCCTCCTCTGTAGCATCTTCTTACCTCCTCTGTATTATTATTAAGTCACAAGGATCTCCTGATAAATCTAACTTGTTTGCTTCATTACCAGGATGGAATCATTCTTCAGTTTGAAGGAAAAAGCCTTTAAAAGTCTCCTATCTTTCCCTAAATCCTCTATGCTTCAGAATTGACTCCCCATGGGATTACACCTATCATGTCCCTGATTAAGCTAAAGTCTGTTCTCCTGAAATCCAGGGTCAATACTCTGGCACCCTTCTTCCTCATTCCCCTCAGGATCTTGTACTCCACCATTTCTTGGTCAATACAGCCAAGGTTACCACTGATAAACACATCCCTGACAGGTTCTTTCCTATTAGTGAATACAACATTGAGATATGCATCAACTCTGGGTGGTGCAGGAGGTGCCAAGAGCAAAGAGATGCCTCAGCAGCATCCTCAGTCCCCTGCATGTTCCCTACCCTGTGTACCACCCTGTGAACTGTCAAGTACCTCTTTGCAGGACATGCTTAAGCAGTTTCAGGTCGTGGCAGTCATCAGACCTGAGCAAAGAGTAAACAAGCCACACATAGGATGAGTCCCTTCTTGCAAGCCTACAATCATAACGCTTTCCAAGAATGAGTGACTTAGCTCATGAACACTGTCCACTTCACGCTCACAGCAAGACCACTTCACTGAAATACAGATGGAGGTTGTACCACCATGTCAGGGAGAAGGGCTTTGAAGTTTGCAAGAGTATTCTTAGTAGATGTCACAGTTGACATCCCAGAGCCACTGGTTTAGCTTCTCTGCACATAGATTAGCTTGACACTATAAAACTGCATCCTTGTAAAATGACATTAAAAGAACAGAAGTGGATGAGCCTTTGTATTTCTTGTGTTTGAAAACTGCAGATTACTTTCTGGGAAGAGATCAAGAGAAATTCAGTGAATGGTCAGTTACTTATCTAGTTATCTGTCCAAGTTTATAATAATAGATGCAACCTGCAGCTCTTTGCCAAATTTAATTAAAAAAGTAATAAAAATAATAAAAATGAAAATAAGTAATAAAAATAAGCAATTTAAGGCTGCTACTGTGATCTTGAGTATCTTGTAGTCTTGGCTTCCCCTACTGCCCCACTGCCAGCTCTTGAAAACTATGACCTTTGGGAAGCATCTCCATGGACTGTGCTTTTGAGCAGATATCCAAGTTTTGTTTCCATTAACTAGCTACCTACATTTTCCAAAACACACACATTTCTCTTCCAAACACTTCTATTCTTAATGTTAATCCTCTATGGCTTCTCTCAAAGAAAATAAACATAAACCCACCACCACATCTCACTAAAGTCCCAGTTCGCATGCGATTTTGCAGATAGCCACCACAGAGCTCTGTTCTGCACAGATTTACTTTTTTGTGTATGTATGTGGTTTCCAACCATCTGCATTCCTGTTCACAAAATAAAGAATGACAGATATATGATGCTTAGAGACATCAAGGGTCACAAAAAAAGGACAGGATTTTCACTTAGGGAAGGAGAGAATAGTCAGTGCTAAAAGAGGAATATTGTTAAAAATATATTAGAAGTTTTGTGCTAGGAAATTATGTAGGGGTAAGAGAAAACTACTAAAGAATGAAAAATTTTAAATTTCAATTTCAATTGCTAACTACTACTGTATGCATTATAATTTCAATTAAATAAAGAAATGAGAAGACATAGGAAGCCATGGGAATACATGGAAACAGTTTGAGCAGAGGTTCTGGTTTAAGTCTTGAAGACTAATTTGATACTATAGAGGTTGAACT